TCATGGTGCGAATTTGGATCATGCAAGCAGCCATGATCGCGAAGAGCAGCTCAGTTTTGTTCACAATGGCGCGGCTCCTTCCTCTCCCCCGTCCTCTCCTTCGTCTTCGGCCTCGTGTTCTCCTTCCTGCAGCCGTGGGAGTTCGTATGCTGACGATGGCGATTCCAGCAGTGAGGATGGATATTGGGGCGTGTCCGACTCGGATGAGGTCGTCGAGCTTCCGTTCATTTCCGCCCAAAGGTTTCGAATCATCTCTTCGAGCGCTCACGCATTATTCGGCATCATCTACGCGGATGTCAGCGTGCATGCGCGCGCCAGGTCAACGGTAGTAAGCTTGCGCAGTAAGGCGGGTGTGTTGGTGTTGCAAGAGTGTCGCGGTTGTCGTGAGGATATCGCTCTTCTCCTTGCTGGTGTCCAGCTCTTCAGCGGGTGGGGCGCGCACTTCTGCGGCAGGGCTGCAGGCGGCTCTGTGATCCTGATGCGCCGAAGTTTTTACGGCTCTTCTTGCATGTGCAGCATCAGGTTGTCGCCGAGGGGCGCTGCCGCAATGCGCGCTTAAGGGGGGGGCTGGGATGCGCATTCATCCGCGCTCATCTAGCGCATAGAAATACGGGTCGATTAGGCAGGTGGCTTCTCGGGCCCAACCTTCCCGCAAATGTGCCGCGTGGATGTTGGGTGATCTCAGCTGTCTGGATCCTGGGCGGGGCACCCCTTTTTTCTTCGAGCTGAAGCTGTTTCGAGTAAAACCGACACAGTAGGAGCTTACTTCGCCGACACCTTCCCCCCCCCCTCTGCGAGCTGGCGCAGCTCAGCCCCACCTTTCGCGCGCGGTCTGGGGCCCGCGCCGCGGCGGAATTTCGCGCTCTCGCCTCGGCGCAGTTTTTTTTTTTTTTTTTTTTTTTTTTATTCCCCACATCCAAAGTGGGGTTCTTGTTTTCTCTGCACACCCCGCGCAGGAACACTCACCCCACCCCCTCTCCTCTTCTGCCGTCGCACACTCACTCACTCACTCATCATCATCACCACTCACTCACACTCGCACTCACTCACACTCTCTCAAGTCTCAGGCGGGAGCCCCCTCCCTACGGGGCCCGCAGATCATGTTGGTAATCCGAGCGGGTCATCGGAACCCTGTAACTGTCGTCACTTTTGGGCTCCCCAGGCCTGAAAATGGAGGAAGTCTCAGGCGGGAGCCTCGTCTGTGAGTGAATTGGGAGGAAGTCTCA